CCTCTCAGTGGAGAGCTGCCATGGACTCAGAGATGGCCTCCTACAGATCCACAGGCACTTCCGTCGACGAGGTTCCCCCCCCTGGGGCGAACGTAGTCGATGGCATGTGGATCTTCAGGGTGAAGCGGCCACCGGGATCTCCTCCGGTCTTCAAGGCGCGCTATGTGGCTAGAGGTTTCAGTCAGCGCGAGGGAGTTGACTTCTTTCAGACCTTCGTGCCTACCCCGAAGATGACCACTCTTCGGGTGTTACTGCACGTAGCAGCACAGAGAGACTACGAGTTACACTCTCTCGACTTCTCCACTGCTTTCCTTCAGGGTAGCCTACACGAGGAGGTCTGGCTGCGTCGTCCCTCTGCCTTCACCGGCACTTTCCCTCCTGGGACCCAGTGGAGGCTGAGGCGACCGGTCTACGGCCTCCGTCAGGCTCCTCGTGAGTGGCACGACACCCTTCGTTCTACCCTGTCTGACCTCGGTTTCCAGCCGTCTTCTGCCGACCCGTCGCTGTTTGTTCGGCGTGGCTCCACACCGTTCTTTGTACTGGTCTACGTCGACGACCTGGTTATCGCCACTGCTGACAGGGTTGCTTTGGCTGACGTGAAGCGCGAAGTGCAGAAGAGACACACGTGCACTGACCTTGGTGAGCTGCGCCACTACCTTGGCCTGCAGATCAACAAGGACAGAGCCGCTCGCACCATTACACTCTCACAGTCACACATGGTGCAGCAGGTCCTTCAGCGGTTCGAGCTTCAGCACTCCACAGTACAGAGTACACCTCTTGCTGTTGACCACAGACTCACTGGACCCTTCCCTGACGAGCCGTTTGAGCCTAGTGGTCCTTACACAGAGCTTGTGGGTTGCCTCATGTACCTGATGACTTGTACTCGCCCGGACCTCGCCTTCCCTCTCAGCATCCTGGCTCGCTTTGTTGCACCAGGGAGACACCGTCCAGTTCACTGGACAGCTGCTGTGAGGGTGGCGAAGTACCTAGCGACGACATCAGGCGTGGGGCTGGTTCTTGGAGGGCAGCAGTCTGTTGTACTTACTGGACACTGTGACTCTTCTTACGCTGACGACGCCGAGACTCACAGGTCTACTCAGGGGTACTGTTTCAGCCTGGGCTCTGGAGCTGTTTCGTGGAGGTCCACGCGTTCCTCCTCGGTCTCGACCTCTACCGCTGAGGCTGAGATCTACGCTGGAGTCATGGCTGCACAGGAGCTGCGTTGGTTGACCTTCTTGCTCACCGACCTTGGTGAGCAGCCCAGCTCTGCACCGACCTTGTTCACTGACAACAAGGCGTCGATTCTCCTCTGTCGAGAGCCGCGACTGGAGAGCAGAGTGAAGCACATCAACGTCAGGTACTTTCTTTTGCGAGAGTTGCCGAGGCGTGGACAGGCTCGCTTCGACTTTGTGGAGTCCGAGGCCAACACTGCAGACATCTTCACCAAGGCGCTTCCGCCTTGTGACCACCAGAGGTGTTGTGTGCAGTTAGGTCTCGTTGACACAGGTTCTCGCATTACGTTGTCTTGAGTTCTCTGCTTGCCTTGTTTGTACGCTTTATATATACCTCTGTGAACTCTTGAACTAGCCTTGTGGCTCTTTTGCTTGTGCTCGGAGTGTGTGGTGACGTTGTGATCCACCCTGAGCTTTGTTTCGTTGTGATTGGTCTTGTGACGGGGTACACTTTTGGTTTTGCTTGACACCCCTCACTTAGACTATGGGGATGTGTCAGATGTGGTAGTCTTAATGAGGTGTGTTATAGGGGGTACAACTGTTAGGGTTAGGTTTATGTACCCCAACCAACCTTAGTCAAACCAACACTTTCATTCTTGACACTTTGCCCTACCATGAAATAAAAAAATACATAACCGATTTGTTGTGTGGCTGGTTAATGGCAAACGAGTGCGATGCCTCTGTTGTGTGAGTTCACAACATTTTTTTTTTTTTTTTCATGAAACCGTTTACATAGCCTAGCCAACCATCTACATTTTGACTACTTTGAACCTGATTAATTTTACCTGTTTTGCATTTTCCTTTCATATTTGTAAGGAATTTTCCTTATTCCTTACCGGGGTTGACTGCTACGCGTACAACCCCGACAATGCGGACTTCGCACGTTCGGCCGACATCCACGATGCCGAGGCTGACCCGTGTCGCCTTCGGCTTTCCGATCACCAAACCTGCATCCAACCTCGTTTCCCGAGGTTCCCTCTTAGCTAGGGTAGTCACTATATTAGCGCGTGCCTTCATCGGATAATCAGTTCATTGAGTCACACTCTCGTTATTTGTTATTCCGCGCATTCTCTTTAATAACTCATAACACCTGGTATCAGAGCTACTTTCCTAGTTCACCCCGCTTTTCGAGGGTAGTTTGGTAACACGGGTTGGCTGGTACAGTGGACTGCAAAACGGTTGGCTGCAAGGTTCAAAAACCTAACCTGTCCGACCCCGATAGTTTTTGCTTTCCACTCGCCTGAAGGCCACGGATACCCCTCTGCCCACCAGACGAAGCGTGTGAGTCATGGACCAGGAGACATTGAACCGGATGCTGGCGCAAATGGCAGAGCTACAGTCAACAGTGAAAATTTTACCGGCAAAAGTGACAACTCTACGTGAGGAAAACACCGAGCTACGCCAGACGCGAAGTGAAGCGCGCAGTAGTCACCCGATGAAGAAGGCGATGGCAACAGTCAAGCGGTGAGCAATCCGTTGGATGCGCTCATACGTGACTTCGAAGAAGAAGATAGGCAGCGAGGGGCAACGACGCCAATTGTAGTCGCGACGATCAAGATTAAACCTGTGAGCCCGCCCCCGTTCAATCCTACGGACAAGAATACTACAGTGAAGGGGTGGCTCTTCGGTGTTGAAATCTTCTTCACTGCAGCGAACGTCAACGACGATGCCATGCGTATTAATTACGCGGTCTCTCTTCTGCGAGGCGCAGCGCTTGAATGGTGGCGCCACACCTTGGACAAGGGGTTCTCGACAGGTGTGACACATGCAGCAGACGGGACCTCGACATCAGCTAATCAAGTGGCAACATCGAATTTCGGATTGACCAAGATACGCACGTGGAAGGAGTGGGGCGCAGCCTTACGAGATTGCTTCGAGCACGTATCCGCCTCGGAGCAAGCTCGCATGAAGCTGCGTGCCTGGTCACAGCTGGCTTCTATTCAAGACTACACTGCGTCATTCATGGCTCTTGTCAGAGGTCCACAGGTGATCCCCGATTGATCCTAGGGAAGGGTTACAGGCTTGTTTTTTCGGGGGGGTTATGGGCGCACTGACCCGCTACTTAACAAGCCCTTTTATCCCAATGGTCTAGTGGTTGGGATTCTGACATGGTATCATAGCGAAGGTCTCGGGTTTGAATCCCAGTGTGTGCACTTGGGCATCCCAGTGCGGGGGGGTGTCAGAGGTCCACTGGTGATCCTCGATTGATCCTAGGGAAGGGTTACAGACTCGTTGTCCTTGGGGGTTATGGGCGCACTGACCCGCTACTTAACAAGCCCTTTTATCCCAAGGATTCTGACAGCTCTCGCTGACCAAGTGGACGACATGGCGGAATCGGAGCGGTTGGATAAGTACATAAGTGGCCTGAAATATGAAATACGGTACGAGGTCCGCCGACATCGCCCGATCACGTTTCTGGAAGCCGTACAGTTGGCAGAGTCCACGGATGCGCTGATGCAGTGGGCGAGGGTGGGTTCCCGGGAGGGAAACCGTTTTCGCGGCCAGACCCAGCGGGCCACAATCAATGGAGTACATGCACCAGACCGCCCCTTTACAGGGACGTGTTATAAGTGTGGGAAGTCGGGTCACTACGCAAGAGACTGCCCCGAGAAAATGCCGGCGAAGAGGAACGACGGGAAGGAGTAGGGAAATGGGAAGAGTCAGTAATTAACGGGCCCCTTACCGACTGTGCTCCGTCGCTCGAACACCAACATCCCCACCGAGTCGTGGTTCTGTTTCATGCAATCGATCGCACTCGGCCGAATAACGAGGATAACCACGTGGATCACCCACGTGGTTCTGGTCTTGTGACCGTTTGTTGTGTTGGCTATCCTTCACGTTGCCTAGGGGGATGTGTCAAAACATATACGTAAATATGTTGTTAGTTCTGCTAGGCTACAGTGAGGTGCTCAGTATAGAGTACAACCCCAGTTAGGGTTTACTACTTGTATCTCACTCTTGCATAGTTAATTCATTCCTGCACAGTTCTCTCGACAGCTTATAGGCCCCCCAGCCCTCGGCCACACCCCAGCCAACGCTGAAGCTGAAGAGGAGGTTTTGCCTCGTGGTCCTCTGCACGCGCTTCCCAGAATGCTGGAATAGATAGCGCAGGCTGGGTTGGGGCGCCTGTCGTCTCTGGTGCACCTTCACATTGTCAACACCAACCTCCCTGCACTTCCCTCTTGGCACTTCTCCAGGTTCTCCAGGTTCTAGTGAACCTAGGCGATCTGAAAGAGCTGGCAGTGCTGCTTCGGGAGAAGTGCCATGCCATGACGTCCCTTCCCTCTTCCATCGCCACGCTATTTAAACTGGAGCAGATTGATCTCAAGTCCCTTTCTCGGCTGGCCCACCTGCCCGAGAATCTCGGGCAGCTGAAGGCACTCAATGAGGTGAGTTTGGAAGAGCCTGCAGGACCTTCCGCCTTCCTTCACTCTGCCCTCCTCTGTCATAGTGCTGAGCATAATCAACTGTCCTAAGATTACGTGTCTGCCTAAGCTACGTTTTCTCCTTTCTCCATTCTCCCTCCCATCACTTATCCAAGTCTAGCTGCAAGGATGCATGTCACTGAGGGCTCTGCCCAGCGACTTGGGCAGCTTGTCCTGTCCCTAACAACACAGGATACACTTGACAGAACTCCCCATGTGTATTTGGCATGCCATTTTGGCTGCATACAATGTGATTAAGCTATCTGCGTCTATTTGACCATGTACAAGGTGATATATATTCCTAAAACCACCCCAAAAACAGACTCCACAGCACATTTTCTTGTCACATTATGTCGCTCCCTTCACTGCTCTCGTGCTCGCCCCTGCGCCACGCAGCGGCATACATGCAATCCGCGGAGCGAATATCCGAGGTGATATAGTCCTGCGTGCGCCCATCCAGGAATCCTCTGCCACTCTCGCTCTCCACCTCCACCGGCTCGCGCAGCAGGCGGGTCAGCAGGCGGTACCGAAGCGAGCGCACCTTGCGGGATTCCTCGGCTCGGAAGGTCTGACCCAGCACACCGTGAATGCCCCTCGTGTGCTGCTCAAGGGAGGAGGGAGACAGGGGGCGAGAAGTGGGTCAGCGGAGAGATGGGGTGAACGGAAAACAATAGCGTGAGACAACGTGACTAGAGGTACCTTATTGGGCTGCGGCACGCAGCCGGTGTAGCCACAGCTGCTTCATAGCAATCAGTCTGACACAAACAAAGTGAGAAAAAAGTTGCTCACATTGAGCTTGACGATATGCACGTTGAAATGCGCCTGGGCCTCCGTAGCCGTCTGCATGAGCGGATGCGCCACGCGTGCCGTTACGCCCATGTCCACCAGCCCGACGATCGTGAGATGAAACTCGTCCTCGTCCTTCCCCTTGCGGCTCCGCGTTTCCGCCAGAAGCAACTTGAACCCGCCGCTGCCAACGATGGAAGAGCCGGCGACGAGAGGCGGGGCCACCGGCGAGCCGTCGAGCTCCAGTCGGTCGATGAACCCGCTGCTGCCCTTCCCTTGCTCCTTGCCGTCGCGAGCCTTGATGAATGCCGAGTGCTGTGCGCCACTCGCATCGCGCCACATCACTTGGAGCTCCCTGGAAGGAAGAAGAACAAAGGAGAACATGAGGGTAAGCAGTTGTGAAGCACAAACCAAAGCGCTGCGAACATGGGATACCTTGAGAACAGGGGAACACCACGTAATGTGGAAGAACAGTGTCCCATACCTGATCCAGCTGCGAATAGGCTTTCCTTTCAGAAGCTTCGCCTTCAGCTCATGCTTCGCATACTGAATCGAATGCTGCTCCTCTCCTTCCCCTCCACTCCCACCGCCTTCTCCGCCGCTGCGACCACCGACCTCCCGCTCAAGTGCTGCCGCCACTTCATCAGTCAACGGCAGGCTCCCATTGGCCCGCATTCTCTCCAGCTCGCTCAGTTCCTCCACGCTCAGCTTCTCCTGCTCCAGTTGCCTGATATGACGTGGTTTCTTTTCATTGGCCGCCGCTTCCACCGCTGCAGCGAGCGACTCTTCGTCCAATGATGTCACCGTGCCGGGAAGATTCGCGATGGGCTGGTAGCCCTTGATTCCCATGTTGACGTGGATCCGACGGTCGGAAAGCAAGCAGAAGGAGCGGTCCAGAAGGCCGTTGAAGTCGAAGCGCGTGCCGTCTGCGCCCCGGAAATGGGGATCGTCGTCCGTGTTGGCAAGGGGGTTGCACTCGCCGCCCACGTACGATGGTACGATGGGAACGTCCCAGTTTCGCACGGTGATGCCTGAGAGCGAGCTCAGCAACTTGCATTCTCCACTGCTCGGACAGGCCACGCGGGATGCGTTGGAGGTGGGAGGCAGAGTTATTCGAGGGGAAAGCGGAGGATTGAAGATTCACACGTTCCAAAGTTGAAAGCATCAGAGGAGGAAACCAGCCTTGGGAGTGCGCCACCACAACATGAGACTGAGCACAAAGAAAGCGCAGAATGAACTTTCCGAATATGTCGTTGAACGAAAATACGTCCAGATTGCATCGCGAGCAATGATGCTTGATAACGCAAGATATATCATGCTTACAGCTGGCCGTTCACTGCGGGTTTCAGTCGCCAGAACCTGCAGCCTTCCTGCTTTGCACAACGCTTACAACATTCCCTTGCTTGCGCGTCATCCATGCCCTGCCAAGAAGAGCGGTGGGAAACACGACAGTTAGAAGCGCAGCCTGCAGAACTTCTGCATTGAAAGAAAAGCGCGGCGCTAAGCCATATCATGGAAAGAAACGCAAACAGGTTGAACCTTAACCCGTAAGGTAGGAAGGCAGCACAGGAGGCCGAATTTCTAGTAGTATAAGTTGAACCATTGATTACCCCTGATGTTGTACTGCTTTTGATGACTTCCGCTGGGTCGACGAGATAGCGCTCATAGTTGATGTTCCCGAGAGAACTTTGCTCGAACGCCCTCGTGGCTCCGGGGTTAATAGAGTACCCCATTCTTAACCTGTTGCATCTCTTGTAGCATCCGCGGGGTTGTGTCAGGGGACCGTGCGGTGCGTATTCGTCAGGATGCTGTGCTTCAGTCTGAAAGGGCGCTCCCAGAAGCACCGCGGCGAAAAAAACCGGCAGTAGCCACGATGCTGCTCCCGCGGCACTTCTTCCAGTGGCGAAACAGCCCGAAGCGCCGCTTATTTCCATGTTCTGGCCTGAAACTTAGAATACACGTTGTAGATTCTTTATGCAACTGAACAAGGATGGCGATGAACCTACGACTGCCAAACAGGAAACTGATTGTAAACGAACACTGAGTTACTTGGTCGGGTGTTCAAGCTGCTGTGGAATCTGAATCGGGAAGAAAGGAGGTTGGATTGGGATGGAAATCAGCAGACCGCGCATTTCCGAGTCGGATCGAGACGAGATCGTTCATTGTACCACACCGTACCGTACTGTCTCTCTGAAAGACTCTGACGAGTTGCAATGCGAGCGGGTCACACGCTGTGAGAAGCCAGCCAATCCAATGCAAATGAAGCCACGTCAGCTCGGTCTGTGTTGACTTCTCGGTCGATGACAAAAAGTCATGCAATTCCTCCATGGGACGAGTCAAGGGATTGACTTGGCGGTGTCCTTGAGTGTAAAGGGCGAACTTTTCTTTTCTGAAAGGGCTGGCTGGTCGAGCAGTTCCCAGATCCTTTTCAGGGAACCGTTGGCCACTTTCCTGGAGGTTCCCACTCCGGCCACAAAATTAGTGTACTTTGTCACTTCGAATCCCACAGTAGCGTTCCGTACAAATATGGAGAGAAAATAGGGTACAAAATCAGACAAGGAAAAACTTTAGCCAAGGCACACAACTGGGTTTCCAGTTGGTCAAGAACGATCGAAAATACATGGCAGATGCACAGCACTGTCGCTTCTGGGGCAGGGTTTCTGCCTATTGGGGCTCAGGGCGCAGAAACAGAACGGCTTTCAGGGTCCGTTCTTGGCCTCGTCAGGCAGGCTGACATGAAGCTGTGAAGGGTTTCGATTTGTTTGATAATGACGTGGAACGATCGGAGCTGTCGATAGCCTTGTGTCAGGAAGCTTGACACAGGCCAAGAACGCGCCCTCAGACTACAGTCGATGCTCAGCCTATAACAAACAATTTGATCGGCACATTTAGATATTTAGTCACTCGCGAACGTTTTTACCCGTGTGGTGAATAAATTAAGCATCGTCCAAATCTCGGGGTATAGTCACCAAATAGGGGAAGTCAACATCTACACTACATAAACAACAAGGAATGCCCGTCATCAGAGTGTTGAACTGGTTACAAAAATTAAACACCCACATTCCACTTTCATTGTACTTTCATTGTACTTTCATTGTACAATCACAATCTTGCCTAGGACGGCGAGGGCGAAAGTGCGCAAAGGTACGAAAAGCTAAAACTCGTTTCACGCACATGCCGCCCTTTTACCGGATGTTCTTGTAACAAGCATCGACTGTACAAATATTTGTCGATTCGCCCGCATGGCACCAAACTATAAGTTAGATACCACCAATTTCACACCCCCTAGGCAATCATTCGCGGTTTACCCGAACCGACGTTTTTTTTTTATGATACCCTTTTTCGAAATGGGTATTGTTCCAGCCTGTTCATACAAAATGAGGTGCTACAAGTGGGTCGCAACTAAGTCAGTGCATTGTGGTCGCATTGTGGGAGTTTTGCGACACTTGTCAGTTTAAGGAACTAGTTATAGCCTCCAAAATCGGGATGTTCATGGATAAAGCTGAAAAATGGGTTAGAAGGGTTTCCCGAAAGATGTTGCAGGACGTGAAATTGGTGGGGATGAGGTGCGCCGGTTACACTGTCGAAGAAAACGGTAACTACCCATCATTTTTTTTTTTTTTTTTTTTTTTTTTTTACTCAGAATTGTGCTAGAGTATATGCGGTTAGTAAAAAATAGGGCCATAATAACAAAAGGGGCTTTGATGTCAGAATGTGTAGTTTGTCTAGCCTGCAGTGGGGTACTCTGTAGTGAGTACGACCCCTTAGGGTTTCCTATATGTATCCACCTGCTTGCTAGTGAACCTCCTCCTTTGCCTATTTTCTCTTGCCTAGCTAGCTAAACCCTAGCTATGGCTCCTCGTTATGCCTACTCTTCTGACATGGAATCAGAGCTGTTACGCTCTTGGCCTGTGGGCCCCACGTGCTTCCGCTGCTTTCCTGTCTGTCGCGCGCCCCGTGGCGCGCGACGCTTTTTTCTTCCCGCCACGAGCTCGGGGCGCATGGCGGTTTTCTGCCCGCCGTGCGCCCCGAGGCGCGTGGCGGCTTCCTTCTTCGCGCGTCACCCCGGGGACCCGCGCGTCCCCCCCCGTCGACGGTCGCGTCGCCCCCTTTGGAGCCCGTCACGTCGCCCCGCAACCCACGCGCGGCCCCCGTCGCCCCGTCGCGCCACCCTGGGGAGCCGCGCGCGACCCCCCGCTGCCCCGTCGTGGCGCCCTGGGAAGCCGCGCGCGGCCCCCGCAATCCCGTCACGGCGCCCTGGGGAGCCGCGCGCGGCCCCCGCTGCCCCGTCGCGCCGCCCTGGGGAGCCGCGCGCGACCCCCCGCTGCCCCGTCGCAGCGCCCTGGGGAGCCGCGCGCGGCCCCCCGCTGCCCCGTCGTGGCGCCCTGGGGGCCGCGCGCCGTCCCCCGCGCTGCTGCCCGCGCTCCTGCCCCGTGCTGCCCGTTTTAGGGTTTGGGGGTGGCGAGTGTGGGGGTGGCGGGTATGGGGGTGACGGGTGTGTTCCACAGTCCCCTGCTCCTCCTCCTCCTCCGTCTCCCACTGCTGCAGCTGCCGCTGAGGGGGGTGGGTGTGTGGGAGCCGAAGGAGTGGTGCTAGGGGGGTGACGTGGGAGTGGAGCTAGGGGTGCAGCAAGGGGTGTGTGAAAGGGGGGTGGGACAGTTGGGGGAGGTTGAGCGGAGGCTGCCGTCTTGTCGTCCGCAGCACCTGTAGTCCGGGGCGCTGCTCCGGTATCCCAGTAGTAGCCTGCTGCGCCTGTCGCCCGTGGGTTCGTTGCTCCTGCCGCTCAGAGTTAGCCGCAGAGCCAGTTACTCCAGTAGTCCGGGGCGCTGTCCCGGTAGCCACAGTGCCAGTGTCGCTCCTGTTGCCCGTGGGTCTGCAGCTTCAGCCGTCGCCTCCTATCTCCTCTCCTCTTACAGTCCCGCCTCCTCCTCCTCACTTGCCCTTTGTGAATGCCTCTAGCTTTGCTTGTCCTTGTGAACTTGCTCTATGCCTGCTTGCTGTGCTGATTATACCCCACTTTGACTATGGGGGTGTGTCAGAATGTGTAGTTTGTCTAGCCTGCAGTGGGGTACTCTGTAGTGAGTACGACCCCTTAGGGTTTCCTATATGTATCCACCTGCTTGCTAGTGAACCTCCTCCTTTGCCTATTTTCTCTTGCCTAGCTAGCTAAACCCTAGCTATGGCTCCTCGTTATGCCTACTCTTCTGACATTTGAGTTGATCATGCACAGTTACTCAAACTATACGCCAAAAGCGTAGCACTGTCGCTTCTGGCGCACTGTTACTGGCCAATCTTCGCTCACGGCGCAAAGTTAGTGAGCTTTCTACGCAACTAAGTGTTCATTGGTCAAATTGTCGACGGACCGACAACTCCGCTTGGATTGACGACCATCGAACTGTTCGCCCCTGAGTTTTGGGCAGACAAAAATCAAATACCCTCACAGATGGCATGTTGCTTAGGGAGCCATCAAACGTAAACACTGGCGAATTATTTAGGGTTGATGCCCTTCGCGATGGGTTTTATATTTCATGGCATGCGAGGGGGGCATCAACCTTATGTCAGTAGAGCTGCACTGTGAGATCCCCGAATGATCCTAGGAGGGTTACAGGCATGTTAGCCTGGGGGGTTATGGGCGCACTGACCCGCTACTGAAACAAGCCCTTTTATCCCAATGGTCTAGTGGTTGGGATTCTGACATGGTATCAGAGCGGTCTCGGGTTCGAATCCCGGTGTATGCACATGCAGGCCGTTGCCGCTGTGCTGAGTCCTGGACCTCCCAGTGTGGGGGGGTGTCAGTAGAGCTGCACTGTGAGATCCCCGAATGATCCTAGGAGGGTTACAGGCATGTTAGCCTGGGGGGTTATGGGCGCACTGACCCGCTACTGAAACAAGCCCTTTTATCCCAATGGTCTAGTGGTTGGGATTTTGACACCTTAAACACCTTACGATTGGGTAATTAGGATTGATGCCCTCTCTCTATGGGTCTGAAAAATGTTAAACATCAATAGAAGGTAGTTATTGTTTTTTCTGACATAGTTGGCCTGTCGTTTTCCGAAATGTAGACCAATGAACGCCGAACTTCATAGGAAGCGTACTAACTCTGCGCTCTGAGCGAAACAGCAGGCAGTAACCCTGGCCCAGAAGCGATGGAACTGCGCATTATAACGATTAGTTTCAAAACCCATGCTTGCTCAGCTGAAAACCCCAAAACAAAACATGAACGGTCACTTAAACGGGTGTTTCCATTCGTTCAGTCACAAATATTTAGTAAAAAACATGCAAATGGTCACACACGAAGCGACACCCCAAATGACATGAAATTCGACAGCTCCTGCACCTGCCAATCCAGATAAGAAACTTAGAAAATACACACACACACACACACACACACGCACACACACACACACATACACACACACACACATACACATACATACACACACACACACACACACACACACACACACACACATACACACACACACACACACACACACGCACGCACGCACGCACGCACGCACGCACGCACGCACGCACGCACGCGCGCGCACACGCGCGCGCGCACGCGCGCGCACCCACGCGCACCCACGCGCACCCACACGCACCCACACGCACCCACACGCACCCACACGCACACACACGCACCCACACGCACCCACACGCACCCACACGCACCCACACGCACACACACGCACGCACACGCACACACACACACACACACACACACACATAC